CACCTAATTACGAAGTTGATGTAAGGAGCACCAAATTTTGTTTTATTGAAGCTGGCGTTCATGCGTAAAATCAACATTTTAGATCATCCTGAAGAACACCCTATACAGCTTGTTTTTTTATGTAAATGCTTATGCAAGCTTTTGAAGCCTGCACCCGCCACGGGAGCTTAGTTAAGGTACTCGACAGCTGGCACAAATGTCGCGGAATCAAATCTCGGTCGCTGCGGCCGCATTTTCGATGCAGGCGGAAATGCCCCGTGTACTTAGGCACCCACTGTAGGATTCGTTGCAGATATGTGGATGGCGTTTTCTGAACACCGATACTTGTTTTAGATATGACATGTTACGTCAGAGATATATAATCTCATCTCTTGACAGTGGATGTATACTTATCACCTTCGATCACCATAATATTACCTCAACAAAACTTGCTGAAGCAGCGTAAACTTGCATTTACTCTTACACCAACATCGCCACTTGTTACAAACGCCACCGTCTTACGGAATGTGACGCCAAATCAACAATTATTCACCACCCCCCTGTGGTTCGCTCACGCCATTTTTCGTCGCCGAAATACTTGGTGCACAAACATACGTTGTACGTTTCGAAAAACCCACAGCGTTACGAAAGTACACTCTAAAGTTACAAAAATGTTCGGAGTCTGCCATAGTAAAGAGAAAAGCAACATGAAAGCATAAAGTGATGAGACTTTTTGTGCGCATATAACACACGCACGCACGCACAAGCAAGAACTTCCACTGCCCGACACGGGGTTGGGTGGGGCGGGAGGTTCTTGCGCAAACTGTAAAGTTTTATCTTACTTTTTTTTTCTCATGCCACTCAAGTGTTTTTTTTTTCGTGTTGTTTCACTCGGTTTTTCCTGGTCTTTGGATGTTACGAGGGTCCGATGGTCTATAGTGGCGAGTATCGGAAGGCACTTTTGTTCGATGCGATCAAGGAATAAACTTGATTTTTGTGAGCATCGCCTTTGCGTTCAGTGTTCTTTCCCTTGTAGTCGTTTTCGCCAACGTTGAGATACTGACTTTTTCAATACGATCCAACAAGCCCACATCGCTGCCACTGTCAACGTCCTTTCCCGATGTTTTTTTTTTTCAATTTTGTGCATACAAACGCGCACGAACACACACAGGAAGGGTGACTCGCCCTCCCACGGGAAAATAAGCTTGCTATGGTTGGGGCGTTTGTTGTGTGTGTATCTTTCTGGTGTCACGTCGATTTGGGGCGCTATATAGTCTAACCCTGGAAAATATTTTTCGCTACACCTTTACCGTCCGAGATTCAAAGAAGAGAACATTGGAGACAGCTACGTATCAGTGCGCCACTTTGCCTGGAAAGCCGACCATGCCATCCTGTCGCAGTTTTGCACACCATGTATAGATACACGCACAGTTCTCTTTCACGGCCACAAACTAAGACCAAAACTTTTTCGCAGGCATGACTGAGAGATAGCTTTCTTCTTTCTTTTTTTTTCGAAAGGTGGAGATGCGAATCGCCATTTTGAAGGAGAAACGAGGGTCTTGACTCTGCAATTTTGAGTACGAGAAAGCCCTGATGAGAGCAGCTTTTGGAATCTATATAACGCGTAAATCATCCGCTGAAGAGGCGCAACGCTGCTCGGGGTGCAGCAGGAGGAACGGCAAATGTCACAAGGGCGGCTGGCAACGAGTTCAAGCGCCCGCATAAGAACTTCAGCCGAACACCCGTACACTTCTACGCCGCTTGCTTTCGACGCCGTCGCAGCCGCTTGGCGGTTCGAGAAAAACGAGAAACAAATCGGAGGGTCCTCTTTTGTTTTTCTTCTCCAATTATTCTCCCCAGCCCAAGTCATTAGCGCGAGCTGCTCAGGTGCGAGCCTTAGGGAAGATCGACCAGAGTCAGAACGACGCCTTTTTGTCTCTACGCCGAAAAGCAGAATTCGAGCGCGCCCGTTCCGGTAATAACAACGTGCCCGTTCCGTCGACAAGCGGTCTCAATCACGGAGGCCAGTGCCGAATGCGGCAAACATCAAGAACTCCCGTCGCATCGCGCCCGAGTGTCTCAGAAGCCGAGGAAGTGGCGCCACCGCCTCTCGGCAAAGGGTTGTGTCGCGATCTCGCGCTTCGAAGGATCTAGGCAGGGGGAAAAAAAAAGAGAAAGGGTTTGAAAAAGAAACGCTCGCTCGTTTGTCGATAATTACGCTTGTCGGAGCGCAAAAATGATCGCGCGTTCCGGGCTATAAACGTTTTGTTCCTTTTGTGCCCACGTGGCAGAGGCATCGAGTATGATGAGACATTTATTACGCGATCCCTGTCGACGACCAAGCGTCGGCAGGCGTAGGTGCGATGATGAGGTTGTACGCGAACGACTCGATAATGGTCCCCTTTCGCCCTTTCGCCCCGCGTACCCTATGCGCCGCCCCTGCATATTTGCGCCAACTGACGATGCCCGACGCTATATAGGCGACGGCGTCTTATAATGCCGACGATTGCATTTGGCAACGCGCGTACGCACGCCCAGAAAGGAACACTACGCGCGGTCTTCTCTATTCGACGACCAAGTTCGCATCGTAGTCTGCCAGCAGTCGGAAAAAAATATACATACAAATAAATTGCGAATGCGAGTTCGTTTAAAGCACCGCATTTAAAATCGGTCACTCTAGCGGCCGTGCTTTTTCTCGAAACGGCTTCATTAGAAATCACGGTTTCTTCTGACTCAAGTCTCGACGTTGATAATCTTCAAACAGCTTGTCCAACTTTCAAGTACTCATGGAAGTGATGGAAGTATGTTTCGACCAAAGCGTAGCGGGTAATTTTGACGACAACGTTAGTATTCGAATGAGAGAACGTGAAAAGGGCTACGACGGTCGAAAAACAAATGCAAAAACATGCTTGTTAGGGCGAAAGCCTTATAATTATAACATGAAGGAGGCATTGAAGGAAAAATCGGCGCGAACACGAAAACGGTTCAGAAATATTACGTCACCTCTTTCCGGAACCACACACGAACCATCTCGTGGGAGGTCAGTGAAACCTCACTATAGACCTCGGACCCGGGTTTAAAAAAATACAGGTTTTCCCTCTCACCCGAGATTCCTCACAAATTAAACGACTTGAGAGTACCTCGTAGTGGGCTATATCGCAAACGTTTCGACAATGTTGTCGCTGAACGGCAACATGATTATTCACAGCACCATTGATAGTATGATTAGTAGTACTCCCACCGATCAATTATTGCTGTCGATTGCACTATATGGACAGTTTGGAAAATGAAATGGGCGAACCCTTAAGCTTCGCGTTTAAGAGTTGAACGCGATAATGATATTCTGTCCCTAATGAATACTTCAAGCACTTAGTGCATGAAATCTTTTTGAACTTGCTATGTACCCATGCCCTACGTGGCTTTTAGGCGCAGTAACGTGCGAGCCATTTGTTGTGGGTGGCCGGCTTTAAACCACGAAGTCCTTGTGACAATCACATGTTCTGACGCCCCATGACAATGCACGCTTGTACCGCACATCATTAGTGCTGTATTACATGTGGTATTGTGTAAACTGTATACATGACAAGTCTGTTTGTGAAACATGGAAGAATCTTCCAAGCAGAGGAGTTATTTTCCCTGTACTTCTAAGCAGACGCATGGCTCTGGGATAAAACACCCGTTTTCCACACAAGCGGCCTGTTTTCGATCCTCACTCGAACCTTGAAGTTTTTATTATTAATTTGCATGTTCCTAAAATTTTCGATTACAATACGATCGATTTTTCACTCACAACCAACGACGCCGGAATTTCTCCACAACGAGCTCTTTAACGCTGTGGCATTAAAAGGATCAAGGCTATCGACAGTGAATTTACCGATAGTTTTGAATCACTATCTCAAGGCCATGAGGTGCGCGTGACGCAACTTGCTTCCCCCGTGCCATACCTCCGCTTAGCCTCGAGTGCGCTTGTCGGGACGACAAAAGAAGGCGCTTAAAGCGTGCGACGAATCCTCGTAACTCCGTTACTACTCTACAGATTCTTAAAATTTTTGCAGCAGCCGATGCACGAGGCAATGAGCTCCATTAACGAAACCCTACGATGATTACTTGAAGAAGGGTTGCGGGACCCCTTTAATGCACCGTCACTAATGCTGTTCCCCTCCATTTCTTTGATGTAGTGCCAGGAGACTTGCATTTTTAGGGGCGAAGCTCCTTATGGCGTGGCTTGTGCGTCCCTCGTAGTACGTAAACACCAGTGGCACATACCCGAAATAGCGGTCCTTACGATTTTGACCTCCAAGGTGGTTCCGGTGAGAGATTTCTTCTGTGCGTTGTTGAACAATAAAAGATAGTGCTCAATGCACATGTTAATGGCTGCTAAGGGGGAATGAGAGACAGGAGCATTCGACCTTTAGGTAACGCGCACGCTGCGATCCCCATTAGCAGCCATTGGCATGTACATTGAGCACGATCTGACAAGAAAGGGTTGCTACGTTATACTCGCTGGGTGTAACCTCCTTGGTTTTAGAAAGGTTTAGCGAGCGTTGGGCCGCATAGCCATGAATACAGTGAACTAGTATATACCATGAACTCGAGGTGGTTAAAGGTGGGAAGTAAACCCGAAGCGCAAGCCGTAAGAAAGTGTGCATGTGCCACCTCCCGTTTAGTCCTTGAAATGTCCGCTGGATGGCGGTGCTTCTATATGGAGAATATATGATGAAAAGATGCCAGATGGTGGTACTTGGAGTGCTGAATAGATGGACGAACGGACACACAGACAGATGCATGGACGAACGCAGGGACGGACGCACGCACCGACGGGTGGATGGACGCATGGACGGTTACACAGACGTACGAAGGAAAGGACAGAAGCAAGAACGAATGGACGGACGAATGCTTCGCCCCACTCCCCATCATTCACTCCGTGGATATGCTGCCATTTTTTTTTTTTTTGATTTCGTAAAGAAGCATGTCTAATGACACCAATGCGCAGCGAAGTGCCCGCAATGACTAACGTTTCCTTTTTTTCTTCTTTTGATTTAATTAAACAGGTGAGAAAATGACATAAGGCGACCGGGTTCGATGTCACGAGAGGAAGGCTGACCACGGGGCGATGTGCACTCCTCGAATAACCACGTGCTCCACTTAAAGGGATGCGACGGCGAGGCACCACTCCACACCGCCAACAGAAAATAAGGGGCGCATCCGTCGAAGGAACTTCCGGTTCTCACTCCTGAAGCTTGGTACCTACGAGAAAGAAAAGAACACAGCGTTGTTGAACAGTGTTGAAGATTGCGCCAGGTGGAATTGCATTTTCGAACACGTTACATCAAGGATGGGAATAGGAAGAAACGACCGAGCTGCACTATACACACCACTCTGTTCTTTCATTTATTTTACCCTCAATCGTCACATTGTGAGCAATTTGGCGCAACTTGGGAATCCGTAGAAACACTCGAATATTCACACACACGCTTTTACTCAAGACACACATCTCACACAGCACTGTATTCGGTGTGTGTTACCTGAGGGGATTGATTAATTGATATGTGGGGTTTTAGCGTCCCAAAACCACCATATGATTATGAGAGACGCCGTAGTGGAGGGCTCCGGGAATTTCGACCACCTGGGGTTCTTTAACGTGCACCCAAATCTGAGCACACGGGCCTACAACATTTCCGCCTCCATCGGAAATGCAGGCGGGATTCGAACCCGCGACAAGTGGGTCAGCAGTTGGCGGGTATTTATACCCGCCAACTTCTTAATCTCATCTGCCCACCTAACCTACTGTCTCCCCCTAACTCGCTTGCCTTCTCTAGGAAACTAGTTAGTTACTTCTAATCCTATCAACGTGCTACATGCCCGGCCCATGTCCATCTCCTCTTCTCGATTTCAACTATGATATCCTTAATCCCGGTTTGTTCACTAATCCACTCCGCTCTCTTCTTGTCTTTTAATGTTACACCTACCATTTTCCTTTCCAGTGCTCGCTGCATCGTCCTCAATTTAAGCTGAACCCTCTTAGTAAGTCTCCAGGTTTCTGCTCCGTAGCTAAGTACCGGCAAGATGCAGCTTTTATATACCGTTCTCTTGAGGGATAGTGGCAGTCTACCTGTCATGATTTGAGAGTGCTTGCCAAATGTGCTCCACCCCATTGTTATTCTTCTTCGAGTAGTCTCCGACAAATGCGTAACATAGCTCCGAGTTTTCGTCAACGCACCATGACAGATTTGAAAAAAAAAAAAGCCAACTATATAGTTGTTCGTGCCAGCCACACGTATATTGGCAATTCTTTTAGCATATAGCAAGGGGAATGCGACACGTTTTAAAAACCCGACAATTCTGCTGTTTTTTTTTTCTTTTTTTCTTCTTTAGTATGAAAGTAATACGACAAACCCGTACTTTGGCATTCAGCTTGCCCGCATAACAACGCAACACGCTTACATGAAAGCTATATTGTTGATGCCGGGACGTAACTGCCATAGAGCGGCAAAAAACGTATCAAATTTTAGAAATGGTTCGAAATCAATTTTGAGACGCGAGAAAAACCCCGAACACGATAGAGGTCAAGGAACGGTCTCGTGCTTGCGTTTTCTTTTTTTCTTCGCGCCTGAAATCATTTATGAACGTGCACCAACTCGTCCAACAAAAAGTTCTCTTAAGAAATAAAATTGCCAGATCTCTTAGCTGTCATCCATCCCGCAGAGCGTAAACACGTGGTTCAGAGGACGGGCTGAATGCTTAAATAGCCCGACTCTTTGTGCACACGGACGAAGAGAATTAACGAGTTATATAAAAAAAATCGGAATATCGCACGTATTGTCGGAGCTCCAAGAAGCAGGGAGCGAGCAGCAGCCTACGGCAATTTTTTTATTTTTTTATTTTTTAGACCAGCGTTGCCAAACACAGACAACAATGACACCTAAAGGTCAGTTTATATAATCCAACGTAACTTCAGCATAGACGTTAGAGCATATACGTTTATTTTATCGAACTGTAGCGAACGCGACGGCGAGATGACATGAGTATATATATGCCACGAGTATATAGTGGTTGCATGAGCGTCGGCAGAATTTTCGCCACTCTACTAAGTAGTGACGCGACCCTGCGGTAGCAGAACCCCGAGTTCTATTCGAACTCGAACAGTGACCTTGATTATTAGCGTCCATCAACAACGCTCCCGACACCGGCACCACATTTTCTGCCACACGGGCTCTTTATGGCGTTAAGATTCCCAGTTTGTTCTCGCTGTTCCCGAGTTGATAATGACCATGAATCACGCGAGTGACATCGACCGTGAGATGAATTACGTGTGGCCAATGCCCGTATCCCAAGGCCCTTGATAAGCGGTTACGCTACCGAGGAGTGACGTATACAGGCGGCAGCCATGCCAAATAACTCGTGTCGTGGCCTGCTAATCATGTTCAGCGTGCCACAATGCCCTTCCATTCCAATAGGCAGTTTTCAAATAGCATACGCCGAGTTCGTTCTTTGCGGTCACCCGCTCTACCACGAATTAACGGGAGCCCGCAAGCGGTCAGCGTACGACGCATGCGCAGTGGCGTGAAACGCTATAGCGCAATGATTTGCGTACGCTATTCGAAAATTTCCTAATTTTGGTACGGGTCAAGTTAAACAAAAAAGTGACCACGACAGCATCCGTACGTGGGCGGCTACATAAATATGTATAAACGGTCGAAGTACCTTCATTACTTAATGAAATGCTTCGCAGTTAATCTTAAAGCAATGCTTTTCTCGGATTAATGGCCAGAGCGTTGAAATAGTTTGCCAAATATTTCAAATCTTCTTCACCGGCTAGGACACGTTTGAAATGTACTACCTTTATTTGTGAAGGACAGTGAGTGAGTGAGGTTGTAATCGTACGGAATTATTTCGCTACAAATGCACCGCCAGGCTCACTTTTCTTGACAACACTAAGCGCGAGCAACACGAAGCCTTGAATGAACATTAATTTATGCGCACTCTTTCTTGCATCGCAGAAACGCGTTGGGGAATAACGACCTTTGACAATAATGTAGTATACACACCTCGCCCCCCCCCCCCCCGCCCTTTTTTTTTCTTCTCTTTGATCGTGAACATTCTTGGGAGGAATGTGAGTAACACCCCAAGTGAATAATAAAGGCATATATATATATATATATATATATATATATATATATATATATATATATATATAACAACCAGAAGAGTATGAGAGGACCTCTCAGATATTATATTTTTTTAAAGCTAGAACCAAGCACTTTAGTCTGGGCGGGAATGTCACATATTGTACGATAGCTTATTTCCCAGCTTCAATATAACGCAAAGAACGCAACGTTTTAGTTAGAGGACATGCCTTCATGACAGGGGCAATCTTAATGACGCCGACGACAGCTTCGATAGAGGTAAGTGAAGTCAATTCGCCTGAGCTAGCGAAGTCAAGGGGAATGTAATTCCGCTGCAAAAAGTACCGTACCAACAGATACCGGGCGTAGGCACAATTTTTTTTTTCGATTGGGGGCACCACCTTGATCTGAAGTAGCGGTCAGGCAGGCGTACGTGGTTGAGGGTGCTTCTCTGCCCCCCAAAAACATTTAGGGGGAGGGGGGGGGGCACGGGCCTGATGTGTGAGCCTTTGGTTACGCCTTTGAACGGAATACACGGTGCGGGAAACGCCACCGCGTCCCAAAATGCAATCATGGGTAGCGGCCAGGCATAGAATTCCCGAGGTCCATAGTGGTCCTAAGTATACAGTCGCGACTAGAACGATGCACGAAAAATAAGAAGCTAAGAGAGAGAGTTAGTGGTAAACTATTAGCCCGTTTCGAGTGGCACGACGCCTTGGCGACGTCCAGCGCGCCTATAGCGGCATCGCAAGTGTCGGGTCGTGCGAGAATGGGACCCACGGCAGGACAACAACGGAGTGGCGATGTATACAACACCTGTGGCGAGGGGTCATCATCCGCCCCATTCAGCTCGGTGGCTACATGAGCGAAGGTGCGCAGGGGTTTTCGCCCGGCCAGCGCCCCCCGAACTCCTCAAAGGGTGCCGGGGTGAAGGGGGCGGCCCCCTTGCGGTCTCGGCAGCGGAAGCGCCACCTCGGGGCAGATGTGCGAGCCCCCCTTTGGGCCCCGCGCCTGACGGCGGCGGCGTGGGAACCGGGGGTCAAGGGCCCTTGCTCGCCGCTTCCCTCACCGCCGCCGAAGCAGTGCCGCGCGCGGTAGCAGCCGCCGTATACGAGCACCGCCCCGTATGCTGCCCCCAGACGCTGGGAAACGGTGCCCCACACCGCGACGCGGGGTCCAAGCCGCCGGTGCGTGCTTCGCGCGCGGAGGTCCATTCACCTTCCTCGTCACTCCGCGCCCAACGCTCGAAGGCGCCGCTACGGCGGTCGTGGAAAAACGGACCCGCGGAAGCGCTTCTCCGGCCGCCTCTTCCTCGCAAGATCCCGTGACGGCACCCGTTCAATCACACGAAACTTGGCTCCGGGGGAGGGGCGCTAGGCGAAAATTAAATGCGGGAGAATCCTTGAGAACCTCAGCGCCCCTCTCTATCACGAGTCTCGAGGTGGGCACGAAAGACCGAGGGAAACGCCGGGATGATAGCGAGAACCTCGCACATGGTGTAATCGCAACCTGGCGTAATTCAGCGCGAGACACGAATTGCGGGCAGCTGCGCCGGCTGCGGCGATGAACATTCGCTGTTTTCGTGCATCTTAATGAGCGCAGTTTTCTTGTCCTCAGCACCAAATCGGCACCAGACTTCTTCGACAGCCCAACCACCCAATGCAGCATTTGTGCATCTACTCGCGTGGTCCACGACGGCTTACACAGTAGCAGTGGCTGTACGAGTTTGTCGGCATAGCAACTCATCCTTCGCACTAGCGCGAGAAAGGTCAATGACCCACAGAGGACGGCTTGCGATTGACACCTATGCAAGCGCTGTAACACACTATAGACGTTCAGGCTTTTGGTATAATTCGACACCGGCACGCTTACCTTTAAAACCCATTCCGGAAGACAGGTCCCCGCCTGCAATAGGTAAGGGAAATTTGTTACAGCAGTACTACAACTTAACACTGCCAAACACACTGATCTCACCTTCAGTCATTTTTCGAGGCACTGTGAAGAATCATGAAAAGGCTACTTTATACTATAAACTAAATGCAACAACGCACACGAACACAATGTATTAGAAGACGCGGATGCAGGATATGGCTGTCATTGCAGACAAACAATCACGCAATGCCGCCCTGGCGGGAAACTTTGCTTGCACGCACCACCATTTGCTATTCTACTGACGAGCATCTGTTGCACCGTATTGAGCGAACGTTGTCGGAGGCAAGTTGCGTAAAGTTTTGTAAGATAACGTGACTAAAAGCAGCAATGAACTATCGAGAATACCTAAAAGTTCCGTTTTCATAAACTATTGAGAGAAAAAAAATCCCAGTTTCGCATCTAAAGCGGACCACTGATGCAATCAATGCGCCAGGCAGCGCCGCCAAAAAGTAGATCACATGTTAGATAGGCCGAATTTACTGCGGCATACATATACTTACTAATTAAATTAACTGACATGGCGGCACGCACACTCAAAGGAGTTTTGAATAAACTCCATTCGGAGACCACGAACACCCGCTGAAACAATGGTGGACGCAGAGCACAGAGACAAGCTTCGCCTCTCTCTTCGACGCACCTCCAAAGCTCAGATGAGTAACACGACATCCAACATAAGAGGGATCGAAGTTCCAGCCATCAGACCAACATCCCTCAGGCTTAGTTTATCACCAAGATAAAACACGTGGCTTGCGTGTGGAACAGTCGCGTAGGGCACGACATACTTAAGCACTTGAGTTTTATACGGAACATCGCAACGACGGCGAAGATTTTTCTGAGAGTTTTCATACAAGTAATTAAAGAGAAAGAAAAAAATTAAAATGCATAGCGGTAGCGTGTATTATGGCGGTACATATTTAACCCATTTGGAGCTAAAGGGCAACTTGTTCGATACAAAGGTCTGCGCGCAAGTCCTACCGCCCGCTATTCGACGAGTTACGCGAAGAACCACGTGCGATAGTGTACCCTAAGCTGGTCGTTATAAGTTACTTCTACTCGAGCAAGCAATCGCGAAAGTCATTAACTGATACAGTGTTTCAGCAGTGCTACTTCGTCATACCGTACGGCAGCCGCCGTGGTCGGCACGCGTTTTTCACTGCGCGAGTTGCTCACTGCGTGCGCTAAACAGATGAGGTTATAAAAGTGGTTAATAGAGGTCTCGCAGACTGAAACAAGCAACGTGCCGACCGCGAAGCAAGCCGCCACCTCAGCTTATTACTACAACGCACTTATCGTGAACGGCACAAGCAGAGCAGAGTGCACTGTCACAGTAACTGATGTAGCTGGACGTAAGCCCCTCCCTCCAGATTCGCCGGGTGTGCGCTTCGCATACTCACCAGACTGGTCGCAATCTTCAAGTTCACCTGCCGGTTCATCCACCTGCAATGAACAAGGCACCGGGAAGCGCTACTTTATTCACTCATTCCTTTGGCGCAAAGCTATATATGACAATATATTGTTAAGCACGATGCCGTGGGTGCGATCCCCGGCCGTCGTGATTGCGTTTGGTTAGAGGGTAGGATTTTGACCCTGCTTGCGTTTTGAACCTGCTTGCGTTCTCGTATCAGGCTCACCATTATAGGTAGTCAGAACAAATTGGGAGCTCAGTAAGACCCTTCAAAACCAACACGCGCTGTTTGGGATGCCCGAACTTCATATTTCGGTTTTAGCTCACCCATTCATTTTGTTTATAATATATATTTAGCGATTCATTGGTCCGTTTATAATTCGACCACAGCCAATCCTCTGTATAATTACGCCATTTGTGCGCATGAAGATGTCAAAATAACAAGCGCACTATGTCTTAGCGACGCCTTAATTTGGCTGCACAGAACTGACACACGTGGCACTCTCAACGTAGGGAGCTGATTGCCATTTCTGTGTGTTTCCTAACCAGACACGACGCCATCGCGAATGGACCCGTGGATTAGCACGCACCACGAGCAGCAGAAGTGCTCCCGGCAGCACTCCGAGCTCGGCGAGCGTGTACGAGTTCCCGCTGAGTGACAGCGGCGGTTGGCCGTCTCCTTGGTCCAGGCTCAGGTGCTGGTCGAACGGGGCCACCGAAAACAGTTCCATCACCTGCACGACAGCCAACAAAAACTCGATCGAGATAGGAAAAAAAAAAGAAACGTACCCCGCGACTGAAATACGACAATATTTCCAACGCCCCCCATAACGGGACGAATTAACAAGTAACCATGAGGACGCGTTCACACTGAGCATTCCGGCCGCCGGAAGTGCGCCGAATCCGATTCGGCGGCGGCGAGATCCGCCGAAAAGGCCCTCTCCGCGCCAATCACTCTCGGACCGATTTTTGCGGCGTCTGCTGCCGAATCGGTGCCCACGCACCAATAGTAGCGCTGGTCAAGGAATTTTGAAAAATGGCGGCCAAGCCCTGCTCACTTGTCACGTCGCAATGCACGTAACTGAATGTTGTAACCAACGAAAGTTTAACCCGCTCTGTGCCTACTTCACGTCTATCATTCACGGAAGAGGTGACCGAGCTTGTCGCTGTCTTTACAGATCAAGACGAACCCGTCAACGCCGCTGTCGTCGGCGTTTTTTTTTTTTTTTTTCTGCTCTTCATGCATTACAAGACGGCGACTTGCAAGCAAAGTAAGCAGTGCTGCTTCTTCTTGCTCCCTGCGTACGAGAATAATCGAAGTCTCTAGACCACCGGATAGCGTATAGTGACGTTTGCGAGCCGCGACAGCAACCGGGTGACAGCGCATCCATCCCGCGTTCGCCCCGTGGTTAGATGGCATATTCGGCGGCACGGGGAGCACCCACTGCGAACGATGCTGCGTTTCGGCAGCAGGAGAATCGCACTCGCTGTAGAAAGTGGATGCTTCAGTGTGAACTAGGGGGTGCCACTTTTGCCTTCTCGCTCGTTGTACTTTATCGCTTCTGATTGCAGTGAATCTACGCCAGTACCACAAGTGTTTTTTGCAAAATCTACCATGGATTTGTCACGCCTCATATATAGTCAGGCTCTCAGCCTATGCATAGCGAACGAGGAAATTGTCGTTGGGAGGAAGCACTGCCGCTAGAATTGTAAGCGGCTAAAGCACAACGAGCGAGGAAGAAGGACCGGTACGGTACTTTGCTTCAGGAGAAAAAAAAAAGAGGAAAAGCAAGACCTAATATGAGGCGCGATTCGAACTCTGGTACCATCAGCACCAAATGAAAAGCGAACAGCGGCAAGCATCCGCAATGGTATGCTGCGTGCCGTCCGATTATACACCGTGCCCATGAGTAGTGACGCCGAATTGGAGGGCCACGCCTGTCAATCGTGATGTCTGGACGGCGCGCACCATAACATTCTAATGCCAGCCGCTGTTCGGGTTTCGTTGGATTTGCAGAGCGTGACATTTTTTGCTAAAACTGTAATTAACCGAGGGATATGAAGCACGAGCATGGCCTATTAAATAGTTCTCTTCCTGGGCGTTTATCTGACTGAGAATCGCTTCGTATGGCGCTGGCTTTGTTTGTCCATAATCGGATGAAGAACAGTGCTGCAGAACAATAGACAACACGAAACGCCCGCAGATCCTAATCAGTATGTTTCTTGTTATCTCTTACTGCAGCACCGCTTTCCCTTCGACTTCGCTTGAAGCCCCGTGATCTCCGCAGATGTCTACATAGCAATTTACGGCAACGACGGCGAGATACGTTCGTTTTAGGCTGTGTCAAAGACCTTCTTCAGTTCTGCAATTATATTAATTTTTTTTGGGAGGGGGGGGGGGGGGCAGGAGGCGGGGTTATTCTCAGTACGACATAAGAAAATGAAGGTCAAGGATATGGCTGCCACACTGAGGAATGAAAGGCGATCAGCCAATTAAATGTGACGAGTCCAAAGCATGTACTAATAAAGCCTTAAAAGGAAAAAAGTACTGTCGGCACACGATCAAGTACGGGGTCGAAATTAACCGAACGCAGGAATGGTTGAATACGAACATTAAGACTAATTTAGCGCTTAAGGTTCATACTTTGAATCTCCGCAATGCCGTTCATTTACTGTATCATCATCATCATCATCATCAGCCTGACTACGTCCACTGCAGGACAAAGGCCTCTCCCATGTTCCGCCAGCCAACTCGGTCCTGCGCTTGCTGCTGCCAATTTATACCCGCAAACTTCTTAATCTCATCTGCCCACCTAACCTTCTGTCTCCCCCTAACCCGCTTCCCTTCTCTGGGAATCTAGTTAGTTACCCTTAATGACCAGCGGTTATCCTGTCTACGCGTTACATGCCCGGCGCATGTCCATTTGCTCTTCTTTATTTCAGCTACGATATCCTTAACCCCCGTTTGTCCCCTAATCCACTCTGCTCTCTTCTTGTCTCTTAAGGTTACACCTACCATTTTTCTTTCCATTGCTCGCTGCGTCGTCCTCAATTTAAGCTGAACCCTCTTTGTAAGTCTCCAGGTTTCTGCTCCGTAGCTAACTAACTCTTTTTACTGTATACTTTATCCAAATACGCAGTTATCGAACAGCGAGCTCGTGAACCGTAGTCGATCTTGCGGTGATGCCGCGTATTAAGTCAAGTGCCACGGTCGGCGTCCTGTATACCTTGATCTTGAGGTCCATCAGGGTCTGCGTGGCGCGCATGTGCACGGAGCGGTCGCCCCGGCGCGCCCGTCGCTGGCGCCGCTCGTCCAGCCTGGGCCGCTTGGCGGTCGCCTCGGCTTCCTGGCTCGACACACGCCGCACCAGAACGGTGCCCTGCTGCGACTGGCGCCGCTCCAGGTCGGCAGACTCGCGGCAAGACTCGCACAGCGCTGCGACACACACACGTCCAGATGACGTCAGAGCACGCGCGATTACAAAGGTCGCGGGTCCCACTGACGGAAAAGTGGTGATTTCACGTCCACTTTAATTCATTTCGACTTAGGGTCAACATCAGTACGGTACAGTTTAAGGATAGATATACGAACCCATTCCCCTGCTTTTCTTGGGTTAATTGCCTGCTGGTTTTTTCACTAGTTGTGCCTAATCGAGAGACGAATCCCTCGAACAATTCCAGTCTCTTTGTACTCTTCTGACGATGCCTACACTAGCTTCCCGACATTTTCATAGGCGTGAGCCTATGAAAATTTAAAAAAAATCCAAAACGAGAATAATGCCATGACTTGCTTTTCAGAGCGCTCTGCCCTTGTACACAACCTTTCCGGGGATAAAAATGGGAATGAAACAGCTCTGGCACACTACGGCGCGAAACACACAACGAACGGAGAAAGCACAAACAACGTTGACGAACGCTGAGGCAGTTTGTGTTATTTCCAGTACGTCGTGTGTTCTTTGCGCTGTAGTTTGCCATAAGTATTTACCGAAGAGCCCCATTCGCTACTTCAGTCAAGTGAAGAACAGCTCTTAAAATTAACATCAATGGTCCTCGGCTGCCATTGTCGACAAGAACTTGCACGGTCATAATAACCTCGCAAAGTTCAAACAACGATGGGACAGGTGCGACTGAGTAAAAATGCGATTCCCTGCCAGATAACGACAGTTTCCCTCCTCAGGTTGCTATTTATCGTTACAGGAGCTGCATAATGATATAACAATTTTTCCGAGTATCCCTGACACGACAGTTGAACGAACGAATGAGCTCCCAGTTATTGATGAAGTACAATTGATTCGCTTCTCAGCCAATACACACAAACTAATCTTGATCCATAGTAGAGTCGGCATACGATGTAGGGCGCATCAGCGGAACGTCGGAGTCAGCAATACCCTGAAGCGCATTTCTCGGCAACAGCGGCATGCGCTGCGGAAAGCCTACATGCTACGTACAGCCTACATGCATGGCCGGCATTGCGAAGGTCAGCCGCTCACGGCAGTGAACAAATGACACCTCGGTCAGATAAATCAATTTATCAATTTCTCACTGAGTACGAGGATGTCGATAACGCGCGGTTCAGGAGAAAGGCACGTTGTGCCGATCTCGATTCATACCTATACAAGAATGCGTCAACAATCTGCAACGAAACAGCACGTTGACATTCGACCTTTTGAACCGAGGAAACGGATGTCTTGATTCTGTTTACAAAATCGTAAGATTCTTTTTTTTTTCACCGGCTCACACCGCTAAAAGACAAGGTCGAAGTTAAAAAATAAAAAGGTGACGACACGAGCGCTTTCAACCAAACTTTATTAAAAGAAACGCCCCGAATAAATGCCAATGCCAAACACGCTTCAACGGAGCGACTGCGCCGCAGAGTCATCCAAGTGACGTAGAAATGGCAAAACACGTGGAGCACACAGGTGCGTCCAGAAACAAACGAACCAAACAAGTACAACTAACAAACACCAAAGTGTAGAGAAGCTCTTCCCGCGTTATTCAAAAATACGAGCTGGATTTTAATAAATTACTCCTCTTTTTCGCTAAGGGTAGCAAACAGATGGCTTATGCAACGCTCCCCTTAGCTGTTAACGTACCTCCATTATGTCCCTCGTGTTGCGATGTTTGTGCCCGCACGTGCTTAGCCTTTGCATAGATTCGCATAGTGGAGAGTCAGCGCTCGTGTCGACATAATCTCAACTTCGTACACGTCTCTTTTGCGCAGCACTATAGCCCAGGCTTCTCGTGTTTTGTATGCAAAGTTGTAAACAGATGCCTGCGTACGCTGCGTACATGGCACAGAAGCTCGCGAGGTGAACTAAGTGCTCCGTAATGAATCGAGTGTACGCAAGTGACTGATCGGCTACGGTACGAAGGCTCATGCACGCAACTCCTCGTACAGCAGCTCGCTCCATGCGCCAGCGCTGCAACATGCACGCAGGAGGGCAGACACGGGGCAGTACGCTGCACACAACTGAACAGCAGAATGTGGAAGGCGCTCACAAATCCGCGGCCCCGGCGTGCGCGCACACGCCAGGGTCGGGGGGGGGGGGGCATTCAAAAGTGGGCGAAGACACCAATGAAAGTGCACGCACGGCATCCGCTGACGCGGCGCGACAATGACGGATGCATCGCCCTGAATCATGCCGCGGAAACGACCTGTGACGGCGGCCGGCGACGCAAACGCGAAGAAGAAGCGGGCGCAAATGGACGGACGGCGACGACGATGCGAACCGCCACTACCATGGGCGAAGAAGAGAGAAGAAACAAAAAAAAAAACCATCTCACTGCCACCGGCAGACTGCTGCGAAGGCAGCGGGCGATAAAAACGGCCGTCGACACTCCCCGCAGGTCGACGTCGATTTTCTTTTTTTCCCCGGCAGCGAGCGACCCATCTTCCTCTCATTCACGAAGCGGCGACGCGGCAGAGTGCGAAACAAGCGCCGCCGCCAGCGACCGTTCGTCTACGCACCATTAACGCGAGCTTAGGCCCAAGGTGGCGCTGTTCTCGCCGAGCGTGTCGTCTTCGCGTTTACGTATTCGGCACTCACTACGCGCGTTCCTTCGACCGAGCCTCGCGTTTTTACTTGCTGCGTACTTTACGTGGAGCTCTGCGAGCGCGCCAGCAGGGTTGTGCCCGGGTCCCGAAACGACAAGTCTTGCACTTCGGGGTCACCGCGTTACGGGATGAGGAAACAACTCCCCGGGAAGTATTGCTGTGCGCCTATAGCGACCTCTTTTTCGAAGGGCTGCAAAATACGCGACCTCTGGCCGCTACGGTTCTGATGCCGTAAGTTCACGGCCATTGGCTTATTTCAACATCGTGACCTCCACAGTTACTGCGGCCTCCTCGAGATGCCGCCACGTTCCCGCACTCGCACTGAAAGTAAGCGGCGCATTCAACGAAAAAATGAGAAGTGCTCAAGGTCACGACTCGCGCTAAATCTTCTAGCTCCCCCCCCCCCCCCCCCCGCGCGCTACTCTGCGCAGTTTTCAGAGTGCTCGCTGGTAGGGACCTTTGTCAAGCCGCTATAATAGCGGCTTTTTTGCTCCTTTCGTAGCATTTGTTTCAAAATGAATGCTGAAATAAAGAATTTGAATTGGAAAGGAGAGATAAAGTGCTTCAGGGGTACAACCAATACCCATAACTTACTCCACTCGTACTTGACGAATTCTAAAAATTTCTGCAGTAGTCGATTCGTGAGGCAATAAGCTTTCTTTAATGAAGCCATTCAATCATATCTTGAATAAGTGACACGGGCCCCTTTAGAGCGTTAATTTGCAATTAAAAGGTTTCGACGGGCATCGTTGGAGGATGACAAGTGAAACGCCGCGACTAGGATTAATTTTTTTAAATATAAAACAGTACAAAACTTCCCGAAATTTCTGACTTTACTGGAATTTCGGGAAGATCAGCAGATATGTGCCAATTCCCCTGACATGATCAAGTAGTTTAGTTAATGTGGCTAAAACTGGCACAATTATTTCTTTCCTCATTGCACCTGTTTGTTAAAGTTTAGGAAACCCTCAAACATGAAGTCAATAGGCCATTTACCTGCCACAAAACAGTAAATCTTTAGGTGATAGTCAAGAAAAATAATATGGACAGTAGTAAGGGCAAATTTCAAGCGATTAAAAACCACGCCTATTGATTAGAGGTTTCATTTCATTGCATTAAAATTTGAGGGTTGCTTTATCTTTGTACCAAGGAGCTAAGAACACGCTGAGCCACAGAAAGGCTGATGGAGCCAACTGTCATGTTGATTAGGCTTGTGTGAATATTTAATATTTTTAGCATGATCAAATGTTATGCTATTCGATAGTTGCTTCGGCCGTAAATTAGTTATATTAAGCGAACGAATACCTTATTTTCTGAATGCTCCTACACGTATGGAGTGAACTATAATACATTCCCGTAAAAAAAAAAAGAAATCAGCACATCTAACTAGCTGGAATCGCTGCGCAAAATGCTCAGACCTTCGTAACAGTCTACATTCAGCACTAATCGTTTAAATGAGATCTTCGGCCAACGGCTCTATTAGTTCGACAACACTTACATAAGACCAGCCGTGAGGGTGCGGTTTCACGGCAGACCGGCCCATGCTGCAGTGAAGCAACCTTTACAGGCAAAAGTTAGCTATGACCCGTAGTTCTAGTTTTTTCCCCTGTCTCTCTTTTTAGAAGCGGGAGAATCTTATTTGTTGCGCCGAACCTGTGGCCGTGAAGGGTAGAGGGGAGGAGAAGAGCACACATCTGCGCACGAAATGGGTATGAGGGAGAGTTGCGCATGCGCAGTATGGGTGCGGCCCGCCACAGAACGGACACGACCCCGACGCCGTGGAGAGTGAGAGTTATATATGCATATTTGTTTTCGATGTTTTAGTAAGTATTTTCTCGGCCCCACTCCTGCATGTGCCGTGAAGAGCCTGCAATATGTTAAAAAATATATACGAAATGATTTGCATATAACTGTCTCTCATTGGCCACCCCCCCCCCCCACACACACACACTCACATTCCAAGCTTGTTGCAGTAAAACATCGTTAATACGTGCCCTCACACCAAGGACGCGGCTAACTGCGCACTACACATAGTATGAATTAACCGCCAAGTACAAATATTTGCATTTCTTTACGTGCGCCATCACCGCTAAAAAAATGGCAGCATATCCACGGAGTGAATGATGGATAGTGGGGAGAAGCATCCGTCCGTCCATTCGTTCTTGCTTCCGTCCATCCATGCGCGCGTATGTGTGGCCGCCCGTGCGACCATCCGCCCGTCCGTGCGTGCGTCAGCCATTGGCATGTACATTGAGCACTATTCTTTATTGTTCAACAACGGGGACGAATGGGTCCCGCTATAAGGAGCTTCGCCCCTAAAAGGAATAAATACAGTGCCACAGCAAATATAGTCTAAAGCGCCCACAACAAAGCCATTCCTT